TAAGATATACAATAAAAGCGAACAATATTATTACAAGCATAATAAAAATAAATTGTGAGATAGCGGCAAGCACATGGAGCTTCATATCCACAGCTATAGACAGGATTTCAATTTTCCTAGAGTAACTTATGAAAAATTCTTGTATGGTGAGTACTTCTCAGTAAGCTCTTATGCTGTATCCTTACTAAAAACGAGTGGTTTGGACATCATCGTTGCTATCAAGTGAAATAGTTTTTAGTTCCAAGCTATTCAGGATTGGTTCATTTCGGTTTTCTACTGTTGTTGTCGTTTTATTCACTGAAGTAGTGATATTTGTAGCAGTTATCATTTGTCTCTTCAACATCCTCAATCGTTGTCTGATTGCTGGCAAACCGATTAAGGCTAAAAATGGTGATGCAGAAGTTGTTAAATATGGTAAATAATGAAGAATATGAGTAATAAACCAGTCACCAAAAGATGAATCAAAAAAATTTTGCCCAATGATTATAACAACCCAAGGCATCCAAGCTATTAAGCACATTAAACTGATAGCTAATAGTTGTATAATCATTCGACGATTTCGTTTCAATGTTTTGGAGATCGATAATGATGTTAAGGCTCTTCGTTTCAGAATGCTAGAACGACCAACCATTAAAAGATTAAAAATTATTATAATAAAACAGGGTAACATCGTATCAACAATGGTGTCATAGGTATTAACTGAAATCTGAACAAAAAAGCATGCGCCACCACAAGCAAATGCAGTTAAATCGTATTGATGATTGTGCACGCATGGAGACAAGACGACCAGATACATATATAGAACAGGAATGTAAAGAGCAACAATAGCCATTGGAATATAATGAAATAATACTTTTCGTTTTAGAAAACTACTTTTATGGAATACCAATAAATAACGTTCAATAGATGCATACATGGTTAAAAATAGGGATGTAGTTTCAAGTGTATAATCCCAATAGATCCAAAACGTGCATATCTTTGCTGTTTGAACATATCCCAAAGAAAGATAATGCAATGAAAATGGTAATTCAGTTGCAATCAACAAAAAATCACTAATCAATATTAATAAAATAACGTGATGATTGATACAATCAAAAAGGATTGATTTACGTAATTGAATAAAGTAATAAAAGATTATGAGAAAACAGATCACTGATGGTAATTCAAATATGATTAAAACAGGCATAGTTACACTACGTTGAATTTGACTAATGAAACATTTACCATTTAATAGAAATGAAATATTACTCGTTTGATTAATCATCTTTGAATTTTGAGATGATGTAAAGCTTTCTACTTTGTGACAAAGATATCTACAAGTATTAAAATACAGAAGAAAAATGTTATTGTACTGGAAAGACTTCTTAGAAATCTTATTGTGAAAACTTTTGTTTTTCTATGAAACACTACGAATTTGGAAAAAAGAGAATCTTTTTTGCTAAATGATATAATGAAAGGTTTTACTGTCATAAGCAAAATGATGTTCTAGGATTACGTCATGTGAAATATTAGTTAATCAACATAAACAATCTCATTTTAATGACTGATAATTCGTAACTACAATCAGAAAGTACCTATTGAATTTTAGAAAAACTTCTTTCTCAGTTTGTTTCTCTCATCGATGGAACTCTCAGTCGATTCTCTCGTTCTAAAAGAATTCTATAACAATAGTCATAAACAACACAACTATTTGTCTGACCTATCTGCTAGCTTATCGCTTGTTGGAGAACTCTGGACAATTAAGATCTGTGTGCAAAGCAGAATTAATTTAAATTAATAAATGAGTAAATGACATAACAAAAATGGATGCATGAATGAATATTGAATAAAGGAAGCAAGAATATAGTCATAAGAAAAGTTGAATTTTCTTACTTTTTTCTCAACGACACATTTCTAAAGTGAAGAAAGATTACTTCATGCACAAGAAATAAGTAAATTAAAGAATACGTAAAGAAATGAGCAAGAAAAAAAATCTAATGAATTCATAAGAAATAAGCTTCTTTTACATAATTTTAATTTAATATTAATGCTTTAATGTTTTATAAAGAAGAATATGAATAAGAAGCTTGTGAGTGCAGTCTCTTCCAGACTGAAATATAAAACTCACATGGATTCTTTATCCTGATTATATTAATACACAATATGTGGAGTACAAAATCTTTCGTATATTATAGTTGTTTTTTTTTAAAGATAATCTATACGCAGAAAAACAACATGTCTTATTTATTTCTGCACGTTGAACAGAATTCATTTTAGTGACACTCTATTATTGTATCAATTGTTGTTATTCGTTTGTTATTTTTATTTTTCTTAATTCAATTGTATTATCATGCCAACCATTAATTAAACTGAGAAATTAGCTGCTGATAAAACATAAACATTATATCTATTACGAGCATTAATGGAATATTAAATGTTGTGATCAACTCATAAACACTGCCATTGATTGTTTTTTCAAAGTAACAACTATATTCGATTCATTCTGCTAATGACAATCATATTACTATTATGGCAAATCAATATATGACTGCCTATCATTCTTGGCATACTGATTCGCATATTTATTTGGACAAAGATAAAAAAAAGTTCATTATTGGGAACATTGACAAAACTATTGTAGCCTTTTAAATTTTAAAAAAAGGCTTTGGAATGTTCCAGAGCAATCAAACCTTGTTTTTCTTGCCACCCAATGTTTTTTTTTCTTTGCTACTGATCTCGAAATAAGGAGTCTGACGCTTACAGCTTATAATGACTATTCTCTTCTAAAATATATGTGACTTTTAAATGAAGCTAAAGGGATAAGAACTGACGTAATAAGCAAAAAGAAGATACGTACTTGAACAGTAAGATAAGATTGGCGAGAGTAGAATAAATGAGATTTTTTTTTTATAAATAATTTTGAATTTTTGTTTAAAATTAATAATATGTAATAAAATCACAGAATAAATGAATAACAAATAAAAGTTCAAAGCGATGATTTTCAAATATTTTTCAGTCTATACGACTGTCTACTAAAGATGGTATCTTAGCATTACTGATACAAAAGTGCGAAGACTATCGCATTCGGATTTAAAAAAGTAACTTAATACTTTGGCGTTAGTATTGAATCAGTATTAGCGTAATGCAAACTCTAAAGATATCAAATAACAGAACAATTTTGTTCACAATGGGAAACTATAAGCATCTGTACTGTGCTAGAGTATGAGTATGATTGTTCTCTTCATTCACATCCACCCTCTCAAAAACAATCCGATACTGGACCTCGGTTTTCTCGACAACTATGCGTCAGAAGTTTTTCAAACTTTTTTTCTGAGTAAGCATCAATGAGTGCTACAATTGATTAGATCATTGGCCTCCCCGTTGTAGGTGATCTGATACTTACAATTTAGCGAAATTCCGATGCCGCATAGTATTAGGTTCTGCAAATATAATTGTCAAAACCTTCATTTTAATTACAGATCTTACGAGGAAACATATTTGAGAGTATTCTCTGAGAACAAGCTTAAAATTATTCTGTCTTATAGAGACCTTGGTCAATATCATCAATATCAGTATCTTAACTGCTATCGTTTGAAGTTTATGAAAACGAGAGAATGAGATGCTTTTGTTTTTTCGTATAATATCAGTATGAGACAGATGACTTTTCACTTTTCTACAACTTGAACAGACAGTTAAAATTTTCAATAAAGTATCATAGAAATTGAATGAAGACCGATATGAAATAGCTTCTGCTTTTTTTACCACAAAGGATTCTATCAAACGTGTTTTTCTGACTTGGTATCCATCATGGCAACTATTAATTAAAGCGAATGAATGTCATTGCCAACTATTGTCACAGGATAAGATAATCAATACAGTTAATGTGTATTCTAAAAAGAAACATCGTCATTCTTTTTGTTTCGATATTATTCTAACAGGATAACCAAAGAAAAATGTGGAGAAAAGGTGAAAGAGGAAAATAGTTATACCCTGTGTGCATCCATCTCTAAAACCTGTTTTCGCAAATTAGTTTAATAAAACTCTAGAGAGGGATCCTACGCAACGTATCTATATATTTTTTTAGATAGGGTAGGAATATACGTTTGATAGAATCATTTGTGGTAAAAAAACAGCAGCTATTTCATATCGGTCTTCATTCAATTTCTATGATACTTTATTGAAAATTTTAACTGTCTGTTCAATTTGTAGAAAAGTGAAAAGTCATCTGTCTCATACTGATACTATGCGAGAAAACAGAAACATTTCATTCTCTCGTTTTCGTAAACTTCAAATGATAACAGTTAAGATACTGATGTTGATGATATTCACTAAGATTTCTAAAAGACAAATTATTCAAAAGATTTTACATTATTTATTATAACGAAATTAAGAATCCACATTATTTACCAAGTCTAATTGAGTTTTGTCTATTTTTAAAATTTATTTTAATGATTCCTTGGTACAGAAATTTCTACAAAAGTTACGTTACTCAATTTTATGTTTACATTGGAAGGTCTTCAAAATCGATTGCTTGATATTTAAATAAAGATTCTTTTTAAAATAATAAGTATTATTATATTAACTTTTATCATTTTAGGTATTGTTGTTGCTAAAGAACGGTTATGTTTAGTAGAAAAACATTAACGTTTTATTATAACTCAAGCTAAATATAAACCAATAAAGATTTTCTCTATTCAATATATTTATTTGCAATTGTTCCAATCAAATGTGAAAATTTACTTTTACGAGTAAAGATTCAGACTGAAGGTGTGGGTGCGGACGTGGGTGTCGGAGTGAATTGACTGAGGACCCACACCCATACCTCTACCCAGGCCCACAAATCCACACCCGTACTCCACAACTACACTCATATCCACAGGCTTCATACGCAAATGTATTCTCATAAGTTCTACTCTTGGTCTTCATAATCGATCGTTTAATAAGTTTTTTTCTCTATTAAATAAATATAGTCATCAAATTGTTTTTGTTATTTCAAATACAAAAAAGAAACCGATAAATTGCTAAACAATATCTTCAAGTAAAATATCAATAATTTCAGTAAATTTTTTTCGTCGTGCTTCATCCAATGCAGAATTACCCCAACGATCTTTTTGTGTTTTACCATCATAACCATGAAGTTGCAATACTTTAACTACATTCAAGTGACCATTAGCTGCAGCTAAATGCATTGGCGTTCGTCCATCATAATCAGCATATGATTCCGATGATGAAAATATTCCAGTTGATAATAAACCATCAATTAATTCGGCTTCATTATTTGATGCTAATGCACTAAAATGAAGAATTTTTTTCCATTGACGCATTGATATTACAGCAGGTTTAATTTTAAAATTTTGTTTTGGATTTGATGAAATTAAATTTGGATTGCTTTTTATGCATTCAATTAAATAATTAGCTACGTCATAATGTCCATAATGATATGCTTCTTCAATAGGTGAAAAACCCCAACGATCTTCTCGTTTTATCCAACTTAAATCTTGATTTTTTGCATATAAATATTCACATAAAAATTGTATACTGCATAATTGACCTTCAGCAGCAGCGACATGTGCAGCCGAACGAAAATCATAATCAACACTATCGGCATGAAATTCCGGAAACTGTTCAAGTAAATTAGCCATTTGTTTGACATCTCCTTCGGCTGCAGCCATACAGAATAATGCTGGTAAAAGACTTTCTTCAACAGTTACTAAAATATTCTCAGATGGTTTTTCATTATTATTTTCTTGTTCTTGATTATTATCATCATCATCAACAATTGATATATCTTGCATAAATAGATTTATTTTTCTTGGTTTTTGTTTTGATGTTTGATCTCGACAATGCTGAAGATAATTAGCAATACTGTTATCTGTTAGATGTAATGCATATTGCATAGGAGTTTGATTATAATAATCGGGAATTGATAAAGATGCTTTACCTTCTTCAATTAAATATTTTACTATAGAAAAATTATTAGCACAAACAGCTAAATGTAGAGCTGTACGTCCATTGTAATCTGCTAAGTTCGGATTAACTCCACATGCGACTAAATATTGTACTGCTTTTAAATTACCTTCAAATGAAAAAGCACATAAACAAAAGGCCAATTCTTTTGTTTTACTAACAGGCATTCGTGCACCCCATGCATAAAGAAATGGAATTAAATGAAAATTTCCATGACAAAAAGCGTCATATAATGGTGTTCCACCGAATTCATCGACTAAATTAACATTAGCTCGAAAATTTTTAACAAGCAAAAAACATAATTCTGATTTTCCACCACAAGCAGCTAAATGCAATGGACTACGTAAATCATAATCGGTCGAATTAACATCGGCTCCTTCATTTAATAATGCTTTTAAATTGTTTATATTATTTTGATAAGCATATGAACATAAAAGAATTGGTAAGAATTCCGCTTCAATTGTTGCAAGATCTTCAATTGATTTGTCATTATCATGTCGAGATTTTTGAAGTATTGTTGATAAATTATTTAAAAATCCAAAATTTGCTTTAACTAGGGTAGTTAAATGAAAACGTCTTAAATGATCTTCTGGTATACTAACAGCTAGTAATGTAACAGCGATCATATTTTTACTTGATTCAGCCATTAAACAAAATATCCAAGAAATGAATATTGATGGTAACAATAATGGAGGAATTCCAATAGGAGAAAAAAAAACAGCTATAGCAGCTTGAACAATAACACTCATTATAGATCCAAAAAGTGTAAAAAACCATATTGAATAGCCACTAAGAACAAAAAACATTCCTCCAAGTGCTTGACATGTTAATACAGAATTATACCCTCCAAATCCCATTCGGATTGTTTCTGCTGGAAGTCCAAACAGATAAGCAGCTGATAATTGACCAGTTATTGCACCAAATAAAGCAAAAAATGATAGAATTGGTGAACAAATTAATATACCCAAAAGAATAATGATACCAGTTAAAGGATTATTGATAAAATAGACTTGACTTACACTTGCAGGAAAGCCAGCAAATATATCGATAACTGAATATTTAGTGATTGTTATATTAGACAGGATAGGTTTTTCAATAAATGTTTTCAATAATCCAGATGTTAAAAGTGTTTCATCTACAAAAAAATATCGAAATTTCATTGCACCTAATAACCATAACAATGAACACATTTGTGAACTGAATGTAAATGGTGAGAGACCTAATCGAAGGGCAACTAATTTTGCAATAGCAACAAGAAAAATTGTTGAACAAGCACTCATCAATACGATCGGTCCAATTATTAATGGAGAATGAAAACCAAAAGAGAAATTAGCTATAGCCATAGCTGTTAAACATCCATTATATCCATAGAGACCAGCTCGAATCGATCCATAGTCGAGTCCTATGATATATGCTGTTAATGTTGATATAATTGTTCCCAAGAGACCGTATAAAGCAAGTTGCCATTGACCAATCAATAGGCCAACTGTAATCATCTATATTTAACAAATAAAAGATGCAAAGACAAAAACATAGTGAATAGGTCAAAAGAGAAAAAAACGGGAAATTTTATACTTGCAAAAGAAATACTTTCCTTGTATACCGTGAGTTTCGATTTTTATATCAAAGAATCTAGGTCAAAATGGTAATTTTTGTTTCTTTTCTCTGTTTGTTTTAACCTCTGATCAGATTATATCAGCTCAAAAATAACTTTATTCTAAACTCACAAAACCCGATAGAGGATTATTGGCGAACATCACTTGTCCCACACCACGAAAGCATGAATCAATAAAAACAATCAAAGTTTGTAGCCAACGATGACCGTAAAGAAAACGTTTGTATGTAAGTATTTGATTAATATCAGGCATAGTACCAAAGAGTGAACGCCATGTAAGTTCATCATGACGATGATAATATTGTTTTTTACGATCGATTAATGCTGATCGACAACGATTTTTTCGTTCTTTATTTGGTAAGAATGTGTGAGTATTATTTATTTGTTGTAAACGTTGATGATGTGGAATTTTTGATGGATAGGAATATGTATGTGATATATCGATATCAGCAGGAACTTGTTCGACAGCTGATGCACCAATAAATGAAGACCATGATTGAATTTCATGAATAATGAGCGGTTCAAGTGTTTTTTTTCTTGATGGTTGTTTAATGTTGGCCACCGGAAGAAGTTCATTCGTTTCGTCTAGTTGAACTATGACAGACATAGGTGGTGAAGTTTTCGTATCAGTATCAAACGAAGATTTATTTGAGACAATGTGATTCAATGTTTCAGTCATTAAAAATGTGTTAATATCTTGAAATAATATTGATTTGTTTGATTTTGTTTTAACAATTAAGTATGGTTGCTTACACGCGGTAACAAACAGCAAGGACAATAGATATATGCATGAATGATTGATGATGTGTCTTTATATGCATGAAAAATACGCAAATCAAACATATTTTTCTATTATGATAGAGAAAAAAAAATGTGAGAAATATCACTTTTGTCGTCATTTATCTTGCTTTAATCTAATTATGCACGTATTGCGTTGGATTTATATGCGTGTATGAGCCGTTAATGTTTTGTATATATAATAATAATATATGACTCATCGTGAGCAAATGTGATATGATTATTATATCAAAGAAGGGTCTACAAAAATTGGTCGATACGAAAATTAGTGGCTACGAAAATTGATCGAAGCGAAAAATAGTCGAGAAATTTATAATAAAAAGAGGAAAAAAAGAATTCTTTGACAAAATCTACAGCAGTGTCGAAAATAAAAAAATATTATTTTATAAGCTGTCTCTAGTAGTTAAAATTTTTTGGGTTAGTACGATATGTAAGTAAAGTGGATACTGAACTTTCTCAAGAACAATTGATTTAAAGAGGGAAAAGAAGTAAAAATAAAGAATGGGTACGAATATTGGGATGAATCTTCTTGATCTCTATCACACACCCACTTACATCCAGATTCGCACTCTCAAAATGCTTTTTTCTTGTTTTCATATTTATATCAGAATTATTTTGATATAATTTCATGAAAATTCGTGAATCTGACAATTTTAATTCTAAAAAGAAATTCTATTTCATATGCTGTATGTATCAGAAAAACATATGCTTCACTGTAGTGATCTGCATATTGGTAATGACATCTTCCGTTTTCTTTTGTAATGCTTTAATTTATTCATCTTAGTGGAAGCTTTTATTTTTTTTATGATTAATTTCTCCTTTACTTTTCAGTTCGACCAATTTTCGTTCGATCAATTTTCACTTTCCCATCAAAGAAATAGGTCTAAATTTGATATTTTCTGCCATTCATTTTGCGTCCATGACTGCAGTACGTGGTAAAAAAATAGCAAAACCGATGTTAGTCAGATCTGATGAATACGGACTTTAATCAATTATTTTCTCATTAATGGTTCGTCTTAAAAGGTCGATTCGCGTGCATGGATAGGCTAGGCATGTGGATGGGGATGGGTGCTCGTATGCTTCTTATATGGCATCAACAGATTACCCACATCCGAACCTACTCCACACTTCACACCTACATCCTCAGCTACTCACATTTTTCGGATTTGGTCACTTTTTACTCTGTTTTTTTTTTTCATTATCTTGAAAACTATTTGTCTAAAAGTAAATGCGATTTCTGTCACCGCTAATCGAGAGGTAAATGAAATCGAAATACATGTTGAAATGAATTGAAGTCAACAGCGAAGATATTTATCATTTATGATAGTAACAACTTTTAAACAGTGAAAATATAAAACACAAAGCTTTATGTATAACAAATATAAGATAAGAAGAAGAAATGTATGTTGACTGTGCTTTACCTGCCAAATAAAATTTATCAGTTATTTAAAGTCTTCCTAAGAATTTTCCGAAGATATATGGTTATCTTTCTTATGCCATACTTTCTGAACGTAAAATTGTCATTTATACAAGACATTAAACTAAGTAGTATATGCATATATCCAAATTACAAATTATTTTTTAAATTAGAACTTCAAGTGAAAAAAATCGATTCTGAAAAGAAGTATAACAACTTGCTTCCATTCATATATAGAAAAAAGAAATTTTCAAATGTATATATATCACAGATTTTCACAATTATTGCTCTTTTAATTTCATTCAATTGAAATGTCGTTTATAGGTTTTTATTTAACGCTATTTGTGTTTCACTATGACAACTAAAACTAAATTACATATTAGGACAAATAGAAAACCGAAATTTGTAGCTAGATGATAAAAATATAGGTCAAGGAACATTCACATTCAGACCTAATCAATAATACAAACTTGAGCGTCTCATATGAAATCCGGCTAAAATAAGATTATATGAATAGTTAATTTAACGAATTTACTATGTTGTTCATTGACATTTAATTTTGAGAAAATCATCAAGATGATGAGAACAAAGAAGAGAAATAAAATAATTCTTGAATTTTACAAAAACTACTTTGATTACAAAGAATATCTATTGAAAATTCTATTGCTATCGGAGCGAAAGAGGGCGAACCATGTATTATGGGCTTGAGTTTGGTTGATCAAGAAAAATAAGATTTAACAGACATTCATTGTAACGAAGCATACTGTTTGGAAGTAAGCGACATTAATATCTGATAAAGTTCCTTCATTCTTTTTGGCATTCCCTGTTGAACTTGTCTATTGCATTTTGGACAATCTCGATGAATTGACAATATTATATTCATTTTGTAATGTCTGTATACGACTGAATTTGATCACTGACATATACTATCAATATCAAGTAAATTTTATCTTTATCATAGATTCAGATTTTATTATTATCTTTAAGACATCATTCAATTCAACAAATAATTATTTTGATTACGTTACTTGTTGATTTTAGAATAGTAAAAAATCGAAGATAATATTTTGACTTTGATGAATATTACCTCACAGAAAAGAGTCATTATAGTAGTCAAGCTATTTCCAAAGATTCTATTGAGTTCGGTATCCTTTCTGCAATTCTTGACTTAATAGGAAACAAAATGAACCTATATTTAGAACGCATTGAACGTTTTTGTATTGCAGTTTTATTTTCCTACAATAACTATCGAAAAGACACCTTTAAATACATTGAATTAAGAATCGAACAGAAGGGTTAATTGAGTATGATGGGTTCCATACTTCTTGAATTTTCAAAACTTAAATATTCATTAAAGAAATGAAGGTATCAAAAGAAAATAAAGATAATTCTATGAAAGACTAGTACCTTAGAAACAATACAAGCTGCCGGAGATTTAGAATCTCTCAGAACACTTAAAAAACATAATAGTTATGCGCTTATTCAAAAAAATGCCAGTATACTCTTATAATCAAAGAAAACAAATAAGAAGAGCTATTGGTACATTTGTATTCTGACACTTATGTTAATATTTAGATTTAGCGAATGAAATATAAATTTTCAGAAAACAGCGTTTTCTGAATATAAATTTACTTAAGCAAATATGAGTGATTTATTTGATTGATGGAACGACCGAGAGACGATAAGAGATACCATTTCATTTTCAGATGGCATGATTAATAAACGCAGTATGTCGTTCTTTCTGCAGCATCTTCAATAGTTTGATGTGTTACATCTGATATTCTGCCCTCACAATCTCATTCAAGCACTGTATCCACTGGAAAATTTTCTGTATTCACTCTCACCCGAAATATAGTTCATGTGGCTTAGGTAGTGCTATGAGTATGAATTGACAACATTCGACCATTGCTGATCAGTCACGATGTCTAAAGGCGATTGCACAAATATATAATATATGAGCCATTAGCTGGCATTTGAGTAATAGTATGCTTTTAGAGTAGAATCAAGTAGAATCTGATAAAAAACTAAAATTATTCTTTTTGTTTGCTTTGGATTGACAAATATTTTTACTTTTCCGAGTCTGCAAAGTGTATCTTTGTCTCCTTTGGATTTTGAATCAAGCAGAATCATACAAAAAAAATATGAGAAAGAATATGTTACTTTCAAGATAATAATGATTTGCTTTTACTAATTTATTTATCACTTTAAATTCTGATTTTTGCCTAGGTCAAGCTCCATATTTTATATTATTTTCCTTTTCTTTTGTCTGTGCGACCTCTCTGTAAATAGAATATTCAACGATATAAAAAAGATACATTGAGAAGTTTTCATAATATTGTTTTCAGTTGAAATAAAATCGAAATTATTGATGAGTTAAAGATTCCGATAACTGCTAGCTGATCTTTATATATATTAAATACTACTTAACTTCTAGGTGACATCGAAAATAATGTGATATTAATGTTATTGATAAATTTCAGAAAGATTCTTGGAGTCTACTATTGAATTACTCAATTAATTGCATACAAAAAAAATGAATGCAAATAATCCTAATGTTCCTATGTATTCAAATAATGAGTACCGTAAAAATTGAATATCTTCCTCTAATCAAGTCAATAGCCGCTAATATTTTAACTTTGCTAGTTTGGTATTGAAAGCTTTCATTTAACCCGAATATGTTCCATTTTTCTGTTTATCAACATAAACACCTCCATTATTAGTAAACTATCTCTTCGTTTTTATCTTATCAGTTTTCTATTTTACAGCTAAATAAGTTACAGTTTCATATCATTTTTATTTATTCATTTACGCAAAGTCACAATGCATCGACGAAGCGGAGGTTTTTTTCTTCTATTATTATTCATCGCTAAATATCAAGCACAGAATCCAACATCACCTACTGATTGGAATGGCGACCCAAATTTATGTACAGTTAATTCACCAGTTACATCTTCACCATTACCTGCACAACAAATGCCTCGATTTCCAAAACGAGCTGAATTTGCTTTACAACGTGTCGAAAATAAGCATTTATTTAATCTTACACTACCCAGTGAAATGACCATGTATGAATATCTTTATGACTATGATGCTAATAAACTAATTATAGTTAAAAACAAAAATGGCATTATTGATACTGAATATTATTACTATGGTCCCAATAAGATATCAACTTATTTTGGAGGAGAATTTTGTCGAGTATCAGATATTCCAACAAATGACGATATGGGTATATATATTAACATTTTAACGATTTCTTTTATAATAGGTTTTTTATATTTTAGATGGTACATCAGCAATAAAATTACCCGACGGCACATGGCATATTCGTCCGTTGAATGAATTTCTTTTGTTTTCTAATGATGATCCACGTCGACCAGTAGTTACACCAATATATCTTGGTACCGATCTAATACGTGAAATCCCAGTTCATCAATGGCAAAGTTGTTACATCAATAAGACAGATTATAGAACAGTACGACGTATTTGGTCATTTGCTCAAGAGAAATTTATTATGCCAGGTACAACTGATGGTTCATTTTCCGTTCCTGTCCACGCACTAATTAGTGCTTCGGTAGTCTTCCCAAATGGCACACAAGTAGTTGAAGTTGATGAAGAATTTAATGTATTTGCATTTCGACCAGGTATTATGGAATCTATTGATGCATTATCACCACCAAAAGGTGTTTTTTGCGCTAGTGGTCCGGGTCAAAATTTAGTATCACTTAAAGATGCTGGTGTTAGTTGGCCAAATCACTTTAGTGTTCGTGTTGAAACTTCAACATCACGTTCATCACAATGGGAACGATTTCATTTACGTTATGATCAAGGTCGTGAAAGTAGTTCAAAACGTTTACGTTATGATTATATGCCACCTGGTTCAGAGGATTTTACAACTGTTATTCATGATTATACTGATGATATAACCTATATTATTGATCGTCGTGTTGGTACGTGTAATATTAATAAAGGTGTAGAAGTTCCTGCTGTTAGTTCTATTCGTGATCCAATAAGATTTTTTATTAAACATGAAGCTTATTTTATATTTAATCCGCCTGAAAAGGCTTGGGAATTTAATGGAGTTCGATGTAAGAAAATCAAAAAGCAAAAAAAGAAAAACGAAACTTTTTAAGATTTCTATTCTTTGTCTTTTTAGCATGTCGTGGTAATGCTATTAAATGTACAATATTAACAACATCAATAGATAATTTTCCTACTATAGTTGACCCAGACACTGGTATGGAAACAGGTGAAACATGGACAGCAACTAATATTGAATATGGTTGGTCAGTTCGTGCACCATTTGCTACTGCAGCACCTGATCAGGTGAAACAATTTGATTATCCGGTAAGTTTACAATTAAAAATGTACCGATTTCGAGATCCAGCTAATCCAACACCGGTTAGTATTATTACTGAAGATATTGAATATGAGTTTTATGAAATGTCTCATGAAATGAAGCCATTTGATTTCGACGTAAGTACATGTTATCGCTCACTCGATCTACCCTATCTTCATCTTGGCTTCGTACTTAAACCAAGCAATGATAGTTTCGTATATAGCAAATATTTGGACAGACATGCTCTCGAATCAAACTTGCGATTGGCTCTGGTAAATAAGTTGCAGGTCAAATGGACGCGCATTAGCAACGTTGAACTCGACTACATTCGATTTGGCAATAGTGTTTACGTTCTATTCACTCTTCTTGGTCCGGTACCCTTACCGAACAATGACGAATTATCGATCGAAGCAGCTCAACTACTTTTGGAAACAGCAATTAATGCTAGTCAATTCACGTTTACTACGACACTGCTAGACCATGACAAATCACAAATCGAGTTTAAGGCACAGCCAAATTCTCTCAAAGTCTCTCAACAATTTATGTCAATTCATGCTAGTTGGGTTTACGCCAATGTTTCCAATTGCAACGTTTCTAACACAAACTTCACTACTACTACTGCTTCCCAATGTCAAGTTCATAATGTTAATAATTCCCATACCAATGGTCCACGAATCCAACAGGAGAAATATACTGCAGCAGCTCAAGCTGGCGGTATTATTGGTGGACTCCTTGTTGGTATAGTTCTTGCCTTCATCGTACTTATTATCAATCGATTCCTAAACAAAACCTCAACCATTGCCAATGCTCCGATCATTAGTAGTGATATGAAAACTATAAGCTTTTACAACAATAAATCAGTGTCACCGTCAAGTGTGCAAAATTCAGCCGATATATCTTACACTTGATACGTTTCATATTGATTTAATCCACACTGACTTTTCCTACATATTGCTTTTCTTATTTCGTTTAAATCGAATGTAGATCATTTTCTTTCTTCATTTAAATAACATCCTTTACCCATTTTATTTAGTATCACGTGTTTATCACAATATGACATACACTAAAATAAAATATGCTGTACTGCGAGTCACTACTGGTAGCGCTCCAAAGACTACCGCAAAAATTTGTCGTAGTGTAAATAGATTGTAGGGTATCTGTCAAGTAGTCATTCATCGTTTTTTTTTTGTGTGTGCTTAATTGCATATATTTGACTTAGTTAAATACATTAGAGTTATATACGTTTCCTAAGTTGTCCTTATTCGATGATCAAAAATAGGCTGCCTCGAAGCGATGTGATAAGGATTACATCCACTAGAGATGACTAGATTTCAAAATCCTACAATGGCGGCTGCTAATAAAAAAAGATTGCTAATCGGAATTAAACTGATGATGTCTTAATTACTCGGTCTCTCAAAAGAAACAACCTATGCAACGAAAACTAGATTCGAATCATGTATTCAAAATTTGTTTTCAAGTTGCATAGATAACAATGTCGTCGAGTATAATGTAGGTGAGATATTTTTCTTATCACCGTGCAATGATAAGAGTTTCTGTTCGTTACTATTATCCTGAAAAATTGACGCCATTATTGTTATCAATCATGGAAAGTAAAGAGCAAGTTAGTTATATGCTAATGACGTTTGATAAAATGCCCTGAATAGGACGAAATATAGCGAAAAATCTACTTTATGCCGCTCAATGATCAATCGAACTGATATTTTTCTAGTTAAAGTCACCTGAAATAGCTATTTGTGCTTCAAAGCTCTTGCAAGACGTTCATTTGATTCTATAATCTATAGTTTCAACAATGAAAGAATGACAAACGTCTCTGTCTTGTATAGAAAATATCAACTGTTAGTTGGTTTATCAGATATTTTTTTTCTGAAATAACTTTTAAAGGAAATAAACGCATCTCTACAAAAAATAAATCAAGAGCATCAGTTTTTGTGCTTTTGCATCGCCAGTGAATTTCTTCTTGTTTTTTTCATCGTTTGAAGAAACGTTTCAAAACGAAAAAACTACCGACTGTGCCAATCAAAACGCCTAAAATGATGAATCCAATCCAGAAACCAGTAATTAATGGGCCCGAACTCTTATATACTATATCAATGTTTTGATTAAGATTTTGATTTTGTGCAGTTGTTGTGTCGGGACATTCATTGAGATCTTGACTTCGAGCAATAGTTTGATTAATACATTCATTAACATTTTGACCAGAACTTGTAGAGATGACTTGAAGCGAATTGATCCGTGCCCGTAAAATAACTTCTGTGGTATTGTATTTTGCTCGAAAAGCTAGGCCATTTGCATCTATCACCGTACGAAGGCGTTCGATAGCTACAGTAAGTGAAGGTTCTTGTAAGGGGAACTCTACTAGTCCTAAGCGAGGTGGTACATCTAACAGTGTGAATGTCACAGGAAGGTCTTTGCCAACATGATCGACAAGAATGTTAGAAATTCGAATAGATCGCACTTGAAGAACAGTTGTCAATGTTTGCCAAATTGTGTATCGCAAATAATCCACGTTCTTATGTACTGGATATTCTTGATCATTTGCCACAATAAACGAGATAACACCGAGGTTGAAGTTTTCTACAGATTATAAAACACTTGGAAATCTCAATTTTTTTGGTTTATTTAAAAACTACTTACCTTCAGGACCCATGGCTCGATAGCACTCAGCCAGCGTGTAGTCAATCTCGAAGGCTGTATTTGGATCACGGCGATAGTTGAAAATGGCTTTAAATTAAAAACAAAAACAAAATAAGTGATATAGACTAGTTTCTATTACCTATTTCAAATTGCATTGTAGGGACACTATTGACATAAGTTTTCAAAACCATTTTCACAGGAAACGATTCTCGTAAATATACACCATTAATAGTTGATGCCCAATACCATTCTCGATGTTGAACTGTATTGTTTGGTAATGATTTTTCACCAATCCATACATGACACCAAACACGATCACGACATCGTTTTTCACCAGTGTATTGATATGTAATATCATCCATCAAAAATAAATGTTCTGTAGAACCCATTTGTATGAGATTTGGTTTCCCATCGACTCCCACAGCATCATTTGAACCTATGCTTATATTACGAATAGAACATTGATGTGTTATCTGATTATATTGATAATTGAGACCAGTTGCAAAATCATGTATTTCAGTGTAATGTAACCAGTTTGGTCCACCGATTGGATCAGGATACCAAATATCAAAACGACTAAATTGAAATTGAGTATCATAGAGACCATGTGTACTAAGAATTGAGTTATTCAATTGTGTTATTAATGCTTCAGAATTCGAGCTAACTCTCTCAGGAATATTTTGTGGCACGACTAATGTAGATGTTCGATTTGGACAATATACACCTTCTGGAGTTTCTAATGCTTGCCGTTGTTCTCGACGACTAGGATATGGTGTATAACGAAAGACATTATATGTATATATCTCTTGACGACCATTTTGAGCTCTAATTTGAACATCTATTTTTAATATAATACTTCCATTTGCTGGTAAATAAGCTTGAAATTTTGTTGCATCAGATATATAATATGTTGCAGATACAGTTGCGCTAATATCAGGTACATAAAAACATGATTTGAATTTATTCGTAGGAATACCACGTAGAATTTCATCGCCAATGTATTGATTACCCCAAGATGGATTTATTTGGTTACGATTATCATAACCAAGTAAAACTGATGGTTTCAAGAAAAGTGTATTTGCTTGAATCACACTAGTTTCTGATGTAGTTCCAATAACTTGTCGAAAACATACCGGTATTGGCTGTTGATTAATAATAGCAGTTAGAACTTCAAATTGTTCATTAGTGTCGAAATACCAGTAGAATTGTACTGGCCCTATGAGAAAAAAAAACATGAAATAAAAGTTGATTATGACATAAGAAAAAAGCTGAGTACTAACCATTTCTTGAATTTAACATAACAGCATCTCGAACTGTTGAAAATGCTTGTGAAAGTTCCATCAATTCATTACCTGAGATCAATTCTGTCATAATTTCAAATAGATATGGAATACGTCTCCATTTAGGGTCAGGGATAGGAGTAGGCCCATCCGGACACAACTGTGGATCCCATTGTCCATAGATGACACTAGTTAATGTCAAACCAAGAATTATTAGAAATATTCGCAGTTGTTGCATACTGCTTGTATCTTTTGAGTTTTATTATTTAAAAAAGGTACGTTGAATAATATTTTCACAAAAAGAATCACTCTTCTAAGATTAGTTTTATGATAAGAAAAAAAAAAGTTTTTGGTTTACTTGCATTATCTCTGATAAGAGCAACGCTAACTGGTAGTCAAGAATAATCAATAAAGAACGTCCAGTATTAAGAAAAAAAAACTTTTTACAAAATAAACCAGAAGTTTCTTGCTCAATCATGTTTTGTATATCTTTATGATTTGATTTAACTTCATCAAATGTTTCTTTGCAATGATAGGGGAATACAACAAGTGTTTATTTATTCCAACATACTTTAAAAGTATTCTTCCAAATATTCATCTGCAGTATTTGAACTCAAAATGACTTTTGTGCTACTTTGAAGTTGCTATGCATTCATCGAAACTTACTGTGACGTTTGAAGAACCTATACGGTTTACAGTTTCTGGGCTTAGGCCAGATCTATACTCATAATATTCTCAAAAAGAAACATTTTTATCCATCTTATGAGACACTTCAAAGATATGATAAACACGAGGATATAATTTAATATTATTTTTAAGACAGCAACTGTCGGGCTTAATTTGAACCCAACGGGCTCTAATGGTGTATTATATCAAGCAAACTGATTATTTTCTAGGAACATAGGATAGCAGTAGATTACTCGAAGGCAGTTTGATACAGTGTGATGGTTAAGTTTGGTGAGCAATGATTTCAAAGAGATGGATCGATTTCATGAGCTTGACGGTCATTAGACTTAATGTCATTTAATTAGATTACTGTTTGGGGAAATATATTCAAAACTAATATCTATAAAACAGTTATTAAAGATTTGGAAAAAAAATATTTTTCTACATTTAAAAAGCTGTTAAAATCTTGTATTTCGGTTGGAGGTGATATCTTTAAAGAATATTTTTGAAGTTTGCTTGTATCAATAAAAACTTGATGTATGAATCTACTATTATTAAAAATAAATTTATTGATTAAATTGAGCAGAATATGAAAGATATACCAAAAAAAAACAAACTTTTGGAATCTTCTGTAGAAAGAACCAGCTTGTTCAAACATGTAGCTCTTGTTTTTTTAATTCAATAGCAGTTCTTTCAACAGATATATTAAAACTAGCAACGAAAAAACGCAGATTTCATAAACAACTAACAAATATATATTCTATTGAAAAGATTTGGTTTGTAAACATATTGTATTTTAATCAGCAATTTATCAAAGAAAAACAAAACATGAAGTTTAAGACCAATCGCATTCGAAAATAGACTCACGTTTATATCCTTGCTTCAGCAAATAATTAGCTGCCCATGTAGCATAATTTTAAATTATTCATAATCAGCTAAAGTGTTTTCTGTTTAAAGATGTTTTTCAAAACAAACAAACGTTAATTCAAACTTGACGTGAGAAGAAAAAGCAAATAGCCATAGTAAATGTCTGGATGTCTAGAAATGTCTGACGCCTCCCTCCCATTATACCTGAAGATCTTTTATGCATGGTCCCTAAAACGTCTTTGTCCGCTCTGAGCTAGTCATTGTTGTATTTAAATGATATCGACTGTGTTCTACTATCTATATAATAATAATTTTGTCATCTCTCATCACCTGCTATTTGCCCATCTATATAACCCTTTGAGTGTGGGTGTAATGGTGGTTGTCGATTTTCTATGGGCGCACTCACATCCACGTTCATGACATTATTTTTCAATAATTAAATAGAAAGAGAAGAAACTGTTGTTTAGTTCAGCTTTCTACATTTGATGTCATGACGTCGATAATGATTAAATAGCGGCGTGATATTGCTAATATTATGATCCCTTTCAGCGCTCCATTATATCCACTATAATAAGAACTTACGACGCATACGTAACCAGTATTACGCGCTATCACGTGATATTTTCTACTATTTAGACACTTGAATACATCTGCATCAATAGCGAACTTCAGCTATATTTAAAGATTTCCTTTTAAGTAAGTTGAATAAGTATTTAGTTCTTGTATTTAATCATGCAAAAAATCACAATAAATAACCACCAGCAAAAATATCATAGGAAATGTGAAAAACAAATATTAAAAAATAAAGCGTAGAAAAAACATAGATACTACAAAGACAAACTACTTGTTATCCTTCAACGATTTGATATTTGATTAGAAAAAGGTCACAGAGCCAATTATTTCATATTTGCTTCAACTGGGTGTGGATATCTATTGTTCATCGCACCTACACCCCACTCTGGTATGAGAAGCTCAATTCAATACATTCGTTCTTTTTTGTAAATCACTGACTATTATAGTTTAATTTTTGCAGAAGTGTACACTCAGGTCTCCAGCAAGAATTCTCATAGTTTTTCGTTCTCTCTCTTTCTATTTTTCTTTTGTCGTTACTCCACTTGCATTTGTTCAAGTCAAAAGCTCTTGGTGTATAATGCACATATGCCTTTAAACAAGAATTTCAATCAGCATATTTGTCTTGTCAAAATAGATTGTTCAAACAATAGAAACAATTTAAATACTATGGGCTCTAAATCAATAATTAAGATTAATAAAGAGATGAAGAAAGAAAAAACATTCATGATATCAAATATTATTCCAAAATTACTATCCATGCATGTATTTATAAAATCGAAAAAATCTTTTTTAATTCGAACTATTGGAGTCATGCATTTTTGATTAGGGGTGTGGCTAGAAGAACCACTATTCTTTTCGTCCATAGCTACACACATGCATACCCACAGCCGTACTGTATTTGTGTGTATTTCAGCATCATTTACTGTTCAACAGAATTGTTTTTTTTTCACCTTACTAATGCTATTATTATCATCAATAGTTGAAATTATCAGACTATACTGGCGAGCAAGCATTGCACAAAACTAAGTTGACCTTAAATGAAATGACTACCCACATTACGATCACTAAGGGTACCACCACAATGTCTGTTCTTCTCAATACTTGGGTGCAATGACTCAAAGGTAAAAAAGAGCAGAAAATGATTTTGTTCTTGAGCTGTACAACGACAGGAAGAAAGGAAGAAGAAAAAAAAATTACATCGAGTTCTCGTCAATCACCAAGAGTAAGCATTTTACAACACGTAACGTTGCAAATAGGCACATACAAGGACAAAGCTATAATGTAGTAGTCAAATGCTTTGCATTCAAAAGTGTTATCATAGGTAATGCAACGTATATGAAAGTTGTACTAATTGGTTTTTCTCTGCTTGTCGATACTATTGCTTTTTTGTATTTGCATAAGAAGAATCTTATGTCAAGAGTGCATACTTAAACATGATATTATTTGACTTTTTTACAATTTTGCTTGATGATGTCACACTTGGCTGAAGAAAAAAAAATTAAATTATATCATCATCGAGTATGCACTCTTGGCATAAGATTCTTCTTATACAAATATAAAAAAAACAATGTTGTCTACAAGCAGAGAAAAACTAATTAGTACAACTTTCATATACGTGGCATTACCTATGATTGCACTCTTGAATGTAACGCATTTTATTACGGCGTTATTTTCTTGTCCTTGTATGTATCTACTCTTGGTGGTAGACGAAAACTCATTATTTATTCAATTTTTTTCTTCTTCTTTTCTTCCTGTCGTTGTATAGCTCAAGGACAAAATAATTTTCTGTTCTTTTCTTTTTCTTGGGACCATTGCACCCAAGTATTAAGAAGAGCGCACATCTCGTGGTGGTACTCTTGGTGATGGTAATATTGTTAGTGGTTTCATTCAAGGTTAACTTAGGTTTGTGCAATGATTACTCGCCAGTATCGTCTAGCAACTCCGACTGGCAATAATCATAACAGCAGTAGCATGGTTATAAAACAGTTTTGTCGAACAGTAAATGATACTGAAATAAATACAAATAAAGTGCCTTTGATCAATGCGAAAGAAACTGAGGAAATCTCTAACCTGTCTCCCTCTATGCCTCGTTGGTGGCTTGTTATACCTTGTTTATTGTTAATGACATTGACTTCCGCACCTGATGCTTTACTTATAAATGATTTTATTGTGCGCCGCTACGAACGCCATTATGGATTTGAATCTTCAGTGAGAGGTCCACGAACTGCATGTCGTCTTCAATCGTCGACTTCGACGCCCGGCTATTGGTACCTTGAGCAGTATTCACTTGACGGGGCTGCTTATGACATTGTGCAGAAAGATGCCGCGAAATTTAATGTTAAAAACTCATTTGCTACACTCATTCCCTCATTATTCGCCATTATTCTACTAGGTTCGAACTGTGATACCATCGGTCGACGTCCATTACTTCTCTTACCATTTATTGGTAAAGTGGCTCGATATATTTTCATGTTAATTATCATTGCTCGTGATCTGTCTGATGGATGGTTACTAGTTGGTCATGCGTGTGAAGCTTTGTTCGGTTCGGTTGGTATTGTCATGTTAAGTGCTTTAGCTTTCATCACTGACTGTACACGAGAATCAGAAAGGACTCGACCATTTGTAATAGCCGAAGTGATCGCTCTACTGGCACGTGTCGTTCCAGTCCTAGCAGTTGGTTTATGGTTGCAACGTTTTCTTTATACTGTTCCGACAAGTGTCTGCCTTGGGTTAAGTGTTATTGGAATACTCTACGTGCTGTTCATACAACCTGAATCCGTGCAAAGTGTGTGAGTCTTTTCAGAATCTACCTTTGATTTCAAATTTGTCCATGTTTTTCGAATTCCTTCGCATTTATCTGTTTTTTCGTCTGAAATTCATCTGAAAGATTTTAAAATAGAGTTCTTGACAGAGAAAATGTTGAAGCCATGATTGTATTTCTAATTTAATCCCATTATTAAAGAAATATTCACTTCTAATTTGACGAAAAAAATCGATACATCCTGTGCAGGTTTTAAATACTACCAATTTAAAGACAATTTACTTTTTTTTCGGGTTTCGATTGATTTGGACGAATTTCTATTATCAAAAGCGTTCAATAAAATGATACTACTTTTGTGAAACATCTTACAT